ACAAGCTAAATGTTGATGACCATAGGGAATTCCCTTCGCTGTCGGGCGCGCCGCAAGCGCAACAGAACACTACCGCGCAGCAGATGTGGTCGAACCCCACCCTACGAACCACCCAGCAAGCCCAGCAAAACACGATCGGACGTCCGCAAGGCCAAGGTCAACAGCAGGGCCAAGGGCAGGCAACACAGGCTACGAATCAACAACAGCAGAACCAGGGACAGGATGATTCATCCCAAAGCCAGTTCTCTGGTGCTGGGGATGATTATCGTTTTGGAGGACAAGGGGGTGTCGGACAGTTGGGGGGTGTTCAGCCGCAGACAGGCAACATCGAGGAGTTCCCTCCATTAGGGGGCGCTGGCGGAGATATTCCACAAGATCGAAGAGCTGGCCTGATACAGAACGCAGCGGCATTCGGTGCGAATGGAAACAGCGCCTTTCCTGGGCTCGGACAAACACGGAACGGCCTCTCAAGCCCGACAGATAGCCAGCAAGACCGGAGCATCAACCCCACTGTGGGTGGCAGGGCACCGCCAGGTACATGTAAGCAAGAGGTCTCAGCCATCATATCAGCCACTGACGATGATAGCATCACGGACACCATTCGAGAACATGCGGACAGGCAACCAAGCAGATGTACGTACCACATGCAACTCTGCTGTACCATAGTTCACACCATGTAGGGAAACCAACGGATAGGGCAGCAAGGGAACATGTTCTCCCTAGGTCCTCAGACAAGCATGCGGGGTGGTGCTGATCTCGCCCCGGGCGGTCAACGGCAGCAGCAGAATCAGTTCGAGCAAACATTTGGGTCTGACGTTCTCGGCTCCCCGAACGCGCAAAATATGCTACACAAGAAGCTCTCGGACATGACGGACTCGGAAAGATACGGTTTACCTGGACTTCTGTCCATGATTCCTATGGACAGCCCCGACTATTCCTCGCTGGCTATGGGCCAAGATCTGACAGTTCTGGGCCTCGATCTGAGCCGGCCAGAGTACGCGTTCCCTTGCCCTCTCAACACATTTGCTAATGGGTTTCTTAGTAATTCTCCATTACATCCTACGTTTGGTTCACCTTTCGTGGAATCCAACGTCAAGCCAGTAATTCCACCAGATTTCACTCTACCGGCGGCGTACACTGTAACAAATGTTCCACCACTGCATTCGAAAATGGCCAGCTTCTCCGCCGAGACACTATTAGCTATCTTCTATCAATTCCCGAGAGATATCTTGCAAGAAATTGCTGCACAAGAGCTATACAACCGCGATTGGCGGTGGCACATGAAGCTCCAGCAGTGGATGATGAAGGATCCAGATCTCGCGGCGCCTATCAGGATTTCGCCAAAAGAGGAACACGGATGGTATCTATTCTTCGATGTTAAGAACTGGAGGAGAGAAAGGGTATGTGTTCCGCTCTGTCAATGCACGTCCTATGAACGACGTACTAGACACTAACGCGAGTATAGAAAGAGTTCGACCTCAACTACGATCACCTTGATCAACGCCACGGTAGCCCTGCTATGGCGGGACAGATGTAGTAGGCTTCCTCTTCACACTGAGTGAATCGTCTTATCGCACATGCACCGCTTGGTGGTGACCTCGGCTGGTATTATACCAATAAAGTACCCTGAGGGTCTTACGCCTGGGGTTTGAGCAACTGTTCTATTCTACGCTTCATGCACATGCTCATGAGGCGACATGATTCACTATGGTCTCTTGATCCGTGAGAAAACAATCTGCAGGTGTGTGACTGCTGCCTTGGCCGGCACGTGCCTTCTCTCACTGTTAGCGGTGAGATCGTGACTACCCCAGTGTCTTGCATCGAACCTTCTTCGTCCACCGTCTACTCATACAACCGCACTTTTCCCCCTCTATCACCGGCCTCAACTTCAGCGATCCTCGCAAGCACTGACCTGCAGATTACTCTTACAAGATTTTCCTGTCTCCAAACAACGCAACACTAACACACAGCACCCAATCACTATGTCATCTCCAACGTCGAATGATGCCGACTATGTTCGCGAAACGCTCACGAAGCTCTCAGTAGCCGTTCGCGAGCTGACTCCAGCCGGCACAAAGCAAGTTCCACAAAACCCCGACCGCTTCAATCTATTGGCGCGTCCTACATACGGTGGCTGTCGTGTCTGTGGTCTTCCCGGCCACCAGTCCATCGATGTCCACCATTCGGCAGCGTGTCGCGTTGCGCTTCTCTCGCTCATCGGCTTCTGGGAGGATATCGCGGATCACGTGGCCTTCCTCTACCAGCACTCCGAGCGATTTCAAAAGGCCATCCAAGAGAACGAGCCAACGTATGTAATGCGTCTTGACAACCGACCGCTGAAGGGTGGTGACATGGAGGTTGTCCTTGTAGACCGCCTAACAGGGAACTTCCTCAAGTTCATGGCGCATGTTCGGGGTATCAGAGCCAAGGTCAATGTGATTCTTAATGAAGATGACTTGGCTAGATATGAGCGAGTGGCGAAGAATCTGGAGGGGTTCTTCTTGGACGGACAGACTCGTAAGTTCTTTCCGAAACCGCGTGGAATGGCATGAACTAATCTGCTGGTAGTGTCTGATCTCTACGAGCGCAGTATTGCGATGGAGCAGTAAGGCTATGGCTGCATCTGTGTGTGCTTTCTTCCTTGATGGCGGGAATCTTCATGAGCGTATTCTCAGACATTCCCAAATTCTGTTTCTGCATTGAAGGTCACACGTGACGAGCACGTGTTGGCTAGCGCAATACCTAGCTAGGTACTAATATTCCTCCCTCTGCACTTTTGAACGTTGAAGCTTGACTTTCGTAACCACACTTCAGTAACACGGACAGATCGCGATGATTGCCCCGCACTCATAGCTGTACAAGAACTCAGTCGTTGCCCCGCATTCTCCGTTATCGCCCATGCGTAAAGTAGATAGTGTTGGTACAGAATGGTGGGTGCCACGGTACGCTCTTTTCCACACCCCCAATCCGACACGATGTCTATCCATAACCCCGCTGCACCTTCCACATCTGCGTTCACTTTTGATCATCCCATATTTCATGACTTCCACTAGCACTCCGATAGGCACAACCGAGCTCATATGGGGGTTTCCTTCTCATCTTTGATTGCTTACCAACACATCTTGAACTGCACCACAGCAACAAGATTGCACCGATTGATTGTATCTCTGTAGACGAAGGTTTACACACAAAAGATCAATGGTGCAGAGTTTATCACAGTGCGGAATCCGAGGACGGCAGCGCAAAAGGCGACGAGGCGATGCAGGGTCTTCCGCAATCAGTACCAGACTCGCATCGCAGTCGAACCCCGCTCCGCGGTAACCATGGGATATTCGATCCGAAAACGACTGTCATAGACCCTGATCGCTTCCCCTCAAGCCCATAAGCGATCTGAGTTTGCACATCAGCTACGAGTAATTGACCGACGATACCGCGGGCACGGGTGGATCCGGTTGTCGCCAATCGTGGGACTGCCAGTACACGATGCTCATTGACGTACGAGCTTTTCCTGGGGTCCGTTGCGAGAATGTAAATCTTGCTCTCCTCCAACAAACAACCATCATCATGGAGGCCGGCGATGCCGCGAACATTGCACATGCCTCGGACCATGACAACGGCGCGGGTGTCTTGCTGAAAGCCGTGCAAATGTCGAGACAGGCCAAGTCTGAGTGCGCAACCCAAGATGCAACGTCGAGCCCCACTAACATATGTACAGGCAAAGGAACGGTACACGTACTGCCACGACAGAAGCGAGAGACTTACCATCTCCAGAAGATACGCAAATCATCGAGGACAGATACATCTCTAGAGATTCGAAACGTTCCAAAACGCCGTCTGATCAGCTTCCCGCGTGCGCCGAAAGTTCATACAACACGACTGATTCTTCCTCGACGCCGTCTGTGGCAAACCAGCAAAAAGTTATACGAATGCACGACGACTCAACTACCTCAGGAGTGCCCACATACCCGGCTGTTCCGAAACTTCAATTCTTGAATGTGACAGATGCCGTACACCAGAGCCATGCCCTCACCATGCCTCGCCGCAAGCCTCTGCCGAAGTCGTCACAGAACGAGCTGACTCCGATTATCGAACCTAAACCACCGTTTTATCGCCCAGTATCTGCACCTCCTCTGAGAACCACCACGTTGATCAACGACACCGAGGAGGATACTATTCATCCATGCTCGCCTCTAAGTAGGCCTTCCTCGCGCGCATCGACAATGAATTCCCTAGTCTCTGCGAAGTCACACACAGAGCCTGGACCTATACACATTCATCCATCCTCCCAGCTCCAAAGCATGCAGTCTATCGGCGAGCTAGATGCAAGACTCCATGAAGTCGCCAGTCTGCGTAACTCATTGAGAATGACGTGGCCCAGCCGTACAAGTAGTGACGCAACTCCGACCGGTACTCCAGAGTCTATATCCAATGTGCCATTGAGCGGTGGAGTTTATGAAGCTCATTCAAGGTTGAACAGTAACATCCGTTCGAAGTCCACCGAAAGAGTGTATTTACATGACTGGGCGAGATCGAGCGAATGGGTTCAGCCTTCTGCCACCGATGAAAGCTCAAAAGAGTGGATCGAGGACTTCCTTGCTCGCCAGGAACAAGCAACTCGCGACGTGCATGGTGAAGGACGACGTCTAGGAAAGCAAGACAGCAAGTATGGCAGTATCCGCAGCCGAGTGGGTAGTATCGACAAGTTCAGGCGCAAGCTAAGCATGAGGCGTGTTACAGATGAACGGGGAAGCTTCGAGGCAAGGCAAGAGAGGAGGCAAGGACGGGTCTTTGACTTGGACATTGAATCGTCTCCTTACGGAAGGGCAATCGTGCCAATACCTGGAGAAGATTTGGAGAGACCGGCGATATCAAGAGCGTTCTCACGCAATTCCATCACGAATCAGCACCTCAGGCCTGAAACCGCTATGTCGAACCGATCGTCCTGGGCCCCTACATCTTCTTCGGCTCTGCATCCAACGCATGCGCCGGAACCGCACCACATGTCACTACCATCGCGATGGCCATCTTCATATCCTACCTGCAGCACCTTCACACCAAACCCCTATCATTCGACGCCCAAGCAACGACCTAAAGTCAAAAAGCATCGATATCAAACGCATGGTTACGGCTACCAAGCGCGTGGCCATCAATCGCATGGCAGAACCGGCAGCTGGGAGAAGTTGAAGGTCAAAGCGGTGACTTCTATAGGCTCGGATCTCAAGAGAAGTATTTCTACTGGTGTCGCGCCCGTCATCACGGAGGGAAAGGACAGTGTGAAGAATCTGGTGGGTAAGGTGGAGAGAGCCGGTGGGAGTATGACTAGGAAATTCAGCGCGAGCTTGAAGGACAAGTTGAAAGCTTTCGGCAAGAAAAAGGAGGGCATGAGTGTTGAAGGGACTTATGCAGTTCAAGGTGAGCGTTGAATCCAATCGCGAGTTAGTTCCAATGTCTTTGGACGCATGTTGCACGATACTACATTGATATTCGCTTAGCGGTTTGAAAGCGCAGTTTTTTTTGGAATCACAATGACCTCCTACAACGCTCGCTATTCCTTTCTCAAGAAATTTCGTTCGATACAGCAAACAGAGTCAACCCGGTATCTAGCGATATCGCATGACGACCAGAGGTGATGATTGAGTCTAGCCTTCCGCGGAGTTGCTCTCCAAATCGTCACCACCGCCCCTGAACCACAAAACTCTTATCCATCAACCGATGTTTTGACGAATGTCAACATCATGCAAGGACCTGTGTCAGAGTCCGACGCACTGGATCACGGCACATAGAACGGTACCCCTCGGGACCAGCACACTGGTCCCACTCAATGGAAATGCTGTCTCTTTACCGCACGATCAACCAAACAACTCGTCAAGCCTGGAGTTTACACAGCTCATAGGCCGCTTTCTGAGACGACACGGTCATTACGAGCCGAAGTTGACGCCAGAATATTCTCCTCCGATTTGTTCGCAACACTCGGCATCTCTCAAACATGTCATGATCATGCCCGAAGCTACCGTTCGACTTCATACCCATCTTTTCAGTGCCTTTGTACTGACGATTCTTCCCAAGCGCATATCAAGATCCCCACTGTCGAGCCGTCAAAATGCCACGCTACTTCCCCACAATACCTCTCCAACCCTCACAACCACTGCCTCTCCACCGAGGCTGCAAAGCATACTTTCTGAACAATCACCCAGCACTATACACCAAGCTGCGCACCTTCAGCACGCACCATGTGCATCCTTCACTCTCTTCCCATCCCGTTTCAGCGATATACCCTTGGCCGTATGTAGCACCCAGATCCTCACCTCACCCATACAGCTGCAACACAAACTAACAAGTATTCAGCCTCGACGCCATCCTCCTCCCCAAGCGCAAGCCCAACGAAACCCCCTTAGACAAAATATACGTAATGTACCACTACCTAATCCGCGGCGACTACGAAGTCCTCCGCAACGAAGTGCAAGACTTCTTCGACCACACAAACTGGCACGTCCACTCCATCCCCGATCCGCGCGACCACGATCCAGAGCGCTACGCCATACTCGCGGCTATAACGCAATACCTTGCGCATGGCATCAATCGTCGTATTAAGATCAGCCATGGGTGTCGGAAGGAGCCCTTGGGGCCATGGAAGACAGCGGCGTACGACGCCTGCTACAATGGCAGGGGCGGCCTACCAATTTTTGAAAAGCTGGAGAGGGAGCCGAAATGGGCGGGGAGGGTTAAGAGGGTAAATAATGGGTTAGAGATTTGTCAAAGTTGGAACAGTGCGGTGTGGGGAGAGAGAACGAGTATGAGGTTTGCGGCCAAGGGAATTGTGAGTATGGAGATTGTGGAGTGCTTCATTTGACGGGGTCAGAGCAAAGACGTGGTGTGTTTAGCTGGAGTTTGATATACTCTAGTTTCTTCGACGTTCATCGCGCGAGTGTTTTTAGGGAGAGAATTATTCTCTCGCGACGCTATGCCGCCTCGTCTTCGATTTCCAAGTTTCCCACTTTGAACTTCTTGCCTTTCTTGTCCGCATAGTCCCCATGGTCATGATAATCCTTCACTCTTTCCCTAACATACTCCAGACCCCTCACTGGCTCCCTTTCTTCGGCATCTTCGCCGACAAGCCCCAACCTTCTCAACAAAGGTGATGCCACAGGCTTGATATCGACCTCATTTCCCGGTCTGACAAAGTAGAACAGCCCCAGCCGATGAATATGCGCTTGATCCTCTGGTGGTCTGATTACTCTGTGGATAGTCGACTTGAAGTAGCCTGCAGACCAGAAGGACAAAGTATCACCAACATTACATATGATGCCGTTGGGAACAGGTGGAACGTACTTCCACTCTCCAGCCGGAGTTTTGAGTTGGAGACCTGCAACATCTTGACTCCAGAGTAGTGTCAAGCTTCCAAAATCAGTGTGCGCGCGAGACCAAGTATTCTGAACTTTGGCATCGTCGGCAGCGGGGCGTGGGTGGTACATCATGTAGCGTAGATGGTCTTCTGATGCGTCGTCATAGCGATGTTGATCTGAGAAGTAGGTCTCGGGTAGTTCCAGGATCAAAGAGAAGAGCGTGAAGATCTTGGATGCTATGTCCAGAGAGCGGCGCGAGAAGGACTCGATCTCTGGGCGAAAGGGGTGGAGGAAGTGTGGAAATGGCTCGTGGGAGTTTGAAGGGATGAATTTGGGTATGTTGAGGGATTCAACGTTATCGAGGACCGCGGTGCCCATGATTTTCTTCTCGTTGGCCTTGGCTTTGCGTTAGACAAGCGTAATTTGCTTTCTAATGGCATGGATATGAGGGGCGTACAGCGCGGTATCCAAAGTAGTTGCCCTTTGCGAAATCACATCGGTACTTTGGGTCGCCCTTCTCTTCTAACGGCAAGTCGAAATAAGCTTGACCGATATCATATTGACGCTCGACCTCTTCCCGCGTTAGACCAGTGCCAGTAACGCTGAAGAAGCCCGTGTGGTGCACCTTCGGCGTTGTCAGAAGGGACGTTTGTCGCACAGTTTAGCTGCCAACTCACTGCGTCTCTCAGCTCTTCAGCCAGTTTTTGTTTTCCATTAGGCTCGTCATACGTAGATAGATCAATGACCTTGATCTCTGCCCAGTCTAGCTTCTTCGTTGTTTGCTTGGGCCGTCCCCACTTTGGAATGGAAGGTGGCTGTTGCAGCGTCGCTGATGGCATGTTGCTGGCAGTAGTTTCAACTTACGAGACTTGGGCGACTTGGAGTCCTGTTTGACTTTTATACATTCTGCGACGTTGTTCCCGGTTACTTCTAGTCCATCGCAACGGGTTGTGTCTCGCTGCATAGATGCGGAGGTGGCGAGCACGCAATACCCCGCTTGATGATGTGCTCGCATGACAGCATCGCATAACCCATGCTCTTCTTGCAATTACCACATCGGTTTGTTCTTCTCCAAACAAATGGGTGGTAAAGCATCGTTGCCAAGCCGTGCCGGCCCTGTCATCCGTTCTTGAACTGGCTATGGTCGGGCAATTTGACCGCCCCTTTTGCCGTCTTCTCCAACAATTTCGACAAAGTCTTGCCCATCCATCATCGCACCGCGCAGCCCATCCAAATCGGAATCTGGGATTTCAGCGTAGCTGTCCCAGATGATCTTTCCAAACTCATCGAACCACCATATTTTCACCCTGCTCTTCTCGATAGCTTCTTCGTCTGCCACATACACATAGTTCTGAACTCGGTTAGCCACTTCTCTGATATCGAACAGCTCTTGATCTGTGATGTTGCGATCTACATGACTCCCGTCCTCTTCCCTCTCGATTTGGTAGATGGCACTTCCATAAACAAGTTCACTACCATCTCCATACTCGTCCATTATACCCAAACCATCGGTCAGTCCGGGAATGCGAAGAAGAAGCTGATCCAGGACTTCCTGATCCAGTCCATGGAAGTCATAAAGCGCACAATCATCTAAAACATGGTTCAAACTTTCAACGCAGCCGTCCTCGATGTTAGCCCCAGAAAGTCGTGCGAGCTCAGCGTAGCTTTGGGCCATTGAGGGCTTGTAACATGTCCTTAACCAGACTGTGTTCCACCCTGAGTACCATCTGCTGATATTGTGTTCTTGGATGGTTTGATGCGGCGCAAATATCTCGTCGATTTGTTTTGTGGTGGGCGAAGGAAGAGATACTGCACCAGGAATTTCGTTCAGTGCGTCCTGGACCTGCTTGTACAGAGGCTGGGTAGCGTCAATTTTAAGGCCAATGCAACCACGCTGTGGCATCGGATAAGGCGTGCCGCACCCATCTCTGCAGGAGGCTTGTACTACGGTACCTCCTGGCTAGTTCATTCCATCGCTGATGATGGTCGGCTGGCAGCGCAGGGCTGGTGCTTTCCCAATGTTCCTCAAGGCATGTTAATCACTTGTATCCCCATTCTGTTGTATCGAGTCGGCTTACTAGAGCGAACAGATCGAAAGGGGAGCGAACATGTCGTGTTTCGGCTCCCGCCGACGCCATTATCTCTCAACCTAGGTAGAGGACACCGAGTCAAGCGAATCAGTCGCGCTTTTCGCGAGAGTCCATCAACAGCTTGCCCATAGGAAACATCAGTGTGACCAAGGCAGGTTGCATTGATCTGACACGCTTCAAGCATACCCAACGCGTAAACACCGCGTGTATTAGTCAGCAAGCTAGCGTACCATCCTGACAGCGCTGACACTGTCACCCAACTCTGAGAGCTCGTAAGGCGAGTACATCTCCACCAGCGGTATGAACAATGATCGATCGTAGGGTAAAATGTCAGATGCACGGTGCTTTTCATAAGAAGGCTTCCTGCCATGATTGTGTGGAGGCCTTATCGCCAAGATACCATCGGCACTTTCGCAACCTCCGATTCTGCGTTGAGTAAGAAGTACGAGACGTTGCGCATTCCTTACGGCGCCGGAAGGCACCTGACAGCCGATGACTTTCCAAGCTTTCCATCATGCACAACTGCACGCCTCGAACGCAAACAACTACAAACTCAGCTCCATCCAATTGTCGAACGACCGAGAGATGGTACTAGCGGCGCCAAAGCCACCGATTGTCTTGGGGATCTGGTGATGTCATTAGTCGCGGCAGAATTTCGCCGTAGCGCGCAGGAACCCGATCTGCAAGTAGTAAGGACGGAGTTCCGACTCATGATTGTGTCTGTGTTCTAGTAGGCTGCACCCTGGGTGAATGCAGTGTTGAAGAGTCGGAATGCATGCAAAGGACCGAAAGAGAAAAGGAATGTGAGGTATATAGAGTAGTTGGACGGACGTCCGTTGCGCATATAATCAGATTGCACCTCTCCCCGTCTTGTATACATTTACCCGCAGCACCTTCCACACCTTCGTCTAGGCAGAATCTCAGTACCTCAGTTCATGCACCCGAAACCCACGCCTTCGTCGAACGCTGAGACTGCCTTCAAAATGCCGTCCGCGACGCAACCTCTCAATATCCTGATATCAGGCTCCGGCATCGCCGGTCCTGTAACAGCGTACTGGTTGCACCGCTTCATGCCTACCTGCCAGATCACCATCGTAGAGAGATCACCCGAACCAAGATTAGGTGGACAAGCCGTCGATCTTCGCTCCTCAGCTCTGCCTATCGTGAAGAAGATGGGAATCCTGGAAAAGGTGAAAGAGAAGACTACTACAGAAGTTGGTATGCAGTTCGTATACCGAGATGGGGAAAGGCGCGCAACGTTTGAGGCTACTGGAGAGGAGGAGAGACAAAGTGGTAAGACACCTAGCTTCCATGCACAGTAATCGATGAGAGGAAAAAGACGGCATTGTCAAAGCAACACAAGCACCTAAACTGACCTGATCACAGCAACAAGCGAGTACGAAATCCTAAGAGGAGATATGGCACGCATTGTCTACGAGCTCACACTATCCAACCCAAACATCAAATACGTCTTCGGCGAAATGGCCACAGAGGTCCAACAAGACGGATCCAAAGGCAGCAAAGCACTTGTCACTTTCGCAAACGGCAAGCTCCCACCTACTGAATTTGACGTCGTCATCGGCGCCGATGGCCAAATGTCGCGAACCCGGCGCATCGTGTTCGGCCACGGACCCAAGAACGACGACTATTTGCACCGTCTCGGCCAGTACTCTGCTCTCTTCACCATGCCACGCGAATCCGTCGACACACAGTACGCACAGTGGTACAACGCTTCGCGCGGCAGACTGTTCCTTCTACGACCTGACCAATACGGCACCACGCGAGCGTACCTCGCCATCACCGATGGTGATCTTAGCCGCTTCGAAGAGATTGACAAGCTGTTGAAGAAAGGCACTAGGGAGGAACAGCAAGCGTGGTTCGAGAAGGAGTTCGAGGGTGCCGGATGGCAGACTGAGCGTTGTATACGCGAGATGAAGAGGGCAGATGACTTCTATATGCAGCAGATTGCACAGGTCAGGATGGATACTTGGCACAAAGGGTGTGTGGCCCTGGTGGGTGATGCGGCGTACTGCCCCAGTCCGATTTCTGGTGTCGTAAGTTCTCCTCAACCTTCGTTCTCATCATCGAACCTTCAGACTGATGTCAATACTAGGGTACTGGTGCAGCAATCGTAGGCGCATACGTTCTCGCAGGCGAGATCTCGCGCTCTCAAGATGACATCCCCACCGCGCTCACCAACTATGAACGCATTACACGCGAATATGTCGACAAGGCGCAGAAACTCATCCCCGGAGCCCCGCAAATCGCAAACCCACAGACGGAATGGGGAATCAAGGTCTTCAACACCGTGACCGGGACTTTGTCACATCCGTTCATCCAGAAGTTCAGTGGTGTGATTGGAAAGATCATCCCAGCATTTGGGTCATCAAAGATTTGGAGCCCGCCGGAGTATGGGTTGTGAGGAGTGTGGACGGATGATGTGTTGGAATTTCAGGATGGATTGATCTCGCGCGATATAATTCTGTGAAGAGCTTTTAATGCATTCATCAACTGTTAGCCTGGCGAACGTCCATCAAGCGAATATTCATGGCAGAATGAGTTATTTAGATCGAGGCCAGCACTGACGTTCTCGACTCGTCTACTCGGCAAGCAGGTCTACACCAACGCTTTTCAGCGCGTCGACCGCCCATACAGGATACTTATCCTTTTCCCTGTTGTACAGATCACCAAAGAAGTCCTTGACAAATTGTGGGTAGCGATCCTGCACGATGGCCTCCCTCGCTTGCCTCATCAAATTTAATTGGTAGTAGACGTTGTGCATGGTGAGAAGGTGGGCACCAGCAGTCTCTTTCGCGGTGACGTGGTATATGTAGGCTCGAGTGATACCCAGTCCGCCATCGGATGTCGGACGGCAGCAGGTGCATCGGCAACCTTCTTCGATTGCGCTAAAGTCTTCGGAGTACATGGCATTGCGTAGGTTGAGGGAGCCGCGGGATGTGATGGCGTTGCCGAATCGCTAAATATTGTTAGCATGGGTCTGTGATGAATAGGGAGAAGACCTTACGGCGGTTCGTGTTGGCCAGACACAGTCGAACATGTCGGCGCCGAGTGCGACGGAGACGACCAGATCTTCCGGATATCCCTAAGTTGGTTAGTAAGCTGTAATAATGCTGAGGGCATCCAAAACTTACGACGCCCATGACATATCGCGGCTTCTTCTCAGGAAGCAGGTCGGTACATGTCTTCACGACTTCGCAATAGGCTGCCTTCTCCTCACCGCCAGAGAGACCTCCTATCGCGATGCCTGGTGTATCTCGCGCAACCATCTCGGCGGTACATTCTTTCCGCATGTCCAGGTCCAGGCCACCTTGTATGATACAGAAAAGGTTCTGTCGGTCTGGGTACTTATGCGCTTGCATGCAGCGGTCAAGCCAGCGTACCGAGCGTTCCATGGCTTCCTTCATACGCGCGTGGTCGGGCGAGGTGGTTGCGATAACGTCGTCGAGTTGCATGATTATGTCGGAGCCGATTGAGTTCTGGAGGGAGATGGAGTGCTCGGGTGTGAGCAGCATGGGCGACCCATCGTGGGGGCTGAGGAAACGGACACCTTCTTCGGTGACTTTGGCGAGTTTGAGGAGCGATACCATCTGGAAACTGGTGTTGGCGTCAGTTATGGTGCGTTCGTTCATCACGTTGGAGGCATGACCCACCCACCACTATCTGCAGGAGTCAGCACTTCCGTCTTTCCATCCCTATACGCTGTGGCATGGTGCACCTGTGAGGATATTGTGTGGCCAGGACTGGAGCTTATGCGCGCCGCCTATGGCATCGAGTGTCGCTTGTCCTGGCTTAAGGCCTCTCCCACATGTCAGCAGTGGCTGGCATGGAGGCAGAACGTCGGCCGTACAGGTGATATGTGTTGTTTAGACATAGTCGGCAGCCCTGGTCTTCGAGTTGGTCGGGCGTGAGGCCTTTGAGCGAGGCCTGCGTCGCAACGGGCATGAAGATGGGGAGGGGTACAGGGCCATGAGGCAGATGCAGCGTTGCCGCGCGTGCTTTGGTGACCTGGGCTTGTCAGGGGATGACCAAGACACGAAACTGACACGATACATACCGAGCACTTTCCCAGCAGCTCAAAGGTGAGGGCCGAAGGCATTGAGACGGGCGCCATGATGCAATTGGAGACGCGACCTGCAGCCGATGAGTCGCTTCAGCTGCAGCCCGTAGTGTTGCGGCCCGTTCGCTTAGCGCGACTTCCCCGTGTTAATCGTCATGCAATCCCAGATCCAGTCTCGGGACCAGCCGAGCGCACCGGAACATAGTGAAGCAGTTGGTAGTGTTCAATCGGCGAGAAATCACGCTTGGACTTTTTCAGAGAACTCACGCGGTTGACATCAGCAGTGACTGTACGTTCATTCCTCCATAAATCTGTTAAGGCAGGCTAGACTACCCAGCTTTACATTGGAACAAGGGAAGGCCAGACTACAAATAACCAACTCTAGATGAACAACTTCGAGCCTTGATACTTCGTCTTCTCCCTGTACACAGTAGACTTGAGCGAAGCCTCAAGCTCTCGCTTCGGGAAACCTTTGAGAGATCGTGCGTACGTTGCGACAGAGTGCGAGATGAGCTTGGTGTTGACAACCCACGCAGTAACGTTGAGGTTTGAAATATCGTCGCAAAGCTGATGGTAGCAAGGATCATACCAGTCCCCAGCCTTGCCCCCAAACATCTCTACTTCCTTCTCCGTCTTGATACCCTCGGCTCCTGTAGCAATGCCACCACCGGGGATTCCGTTGCGAATGAAGCCGTCGTAATCGCTGCGGCCATCAAAGGGAATGAAAGTGTAGTTCAGACCTTGATCCTCGTACCACTTGATGTACAGATCCCGCAACTCTTCGGAGCCGTTCGGGTTCACCGCGTTTGTAGCATTGTAGATTTGGTAGGCGAAGTTGGGGCTGGTACAAGTTAGTCACATTACATGCGCCACGCGTACGGTGATTTCGCTTACCTAGCCATCATATCGTAATCCATGAAGAGGCGGATCTTCTGGTTCTCCTTCTCGGGCAGAGAGGCGACATAGTAGTTGGATCCGAGTAGGCCTTCCTCCTCACCCGCCCACCATGCAAACCTCACACAGTTGGTAACGTTGAACTTGGTAAGTTGAGTAGCAATTTCGAGCAGCGACATTGTGCCTGTTCCATCATCGTTGATACCAGGCCCTTCGGTGACACTGTCGGAATGGCCGCCGAGCATGACGCAGTTGTCCGGATCGCCAGCCGTTGTCTGCGCAATGATGTTGACCGTCAGAATGGTGTTCACTTCAGCGTCAATGTAGGCGATCGCATCCACGCGCTTTCCCTTTTCGAGCTTCTTCAAAATTGGTTCAGCTTCTTCACCGGACAACCCGAATGTAGCTACATGATCGGGAGACGGCGTTCCGAGGGTGCCCGAAACGCTGTCTTTCTCATAGTTGTAGACAATGGCAGCAGAAGCGCCTTTGCGACCTGCATGCTCGGATTTAGTACCAAAGGGGCAGACTCCACGTTTGATGAATGCGATGTTTCCGGCTACTGAGTCTGGGTAATCCGACGCCTGACAACCGTCATTCCCAACAAAAACGAGGTCGCCGTGTACAGGCTCTTTGTCCTTTGTGGGAGGCGTTAAGCCCATGGGATGGGCAGACTTCGGCACGACATCGCCAATGACAAGACGCGACTCAAAGACATTGCCGGACACAGCTGGGAAGGTTTGATTGGTGATTGTGTAGTAGTCGCCAAGTTGAAGGATAGTTTCATAGATGTAAGACAGCGTTCCGAGGTGGCCTGCGACTTCATCAGCATCAGCGTACAACAAATCACGTGCGCAAACGTACCAGCACTCCCGATGACTCTGGTGGGATGGTTGTATTCCTCTTCACCGAGCTTCGCAATCTCGTACATCTTCTTGGCGCGTGCCATCAATCTGTCCCCACTGATGAGGTCTTGGAGCTCGGTCGAGTTGACCAACGGTTTGGTCCCATGTGGATGTCCGAGTGGCGCTTGATTGCCGGACGACATAAGCGGGATCTGGAGCGCCGTCGCGCTTGTGATGGCTGCGCACAGCGCAAAACCAGAGGAGAAGACCATGTTGTGAGTTACGGAGATGGATGGGTTTGGAGACGAGATGGGATGGAAGAGGGTTGTTTGTGTGTTTATGGATGAGTCGCTGTTGCCATGCCGCTAACACGCGCCTCGCGATAAGGCCTGTCCCGTGCACAGTACCAGGTGACTGCTTTTGCTTGAGCATATGTCAAATACATGATGGCTTTTTGTATGTATTGAAGCCTTGTCAAGCTTTGCGATGTGCAGAGGGAAGATCAAGTCGTGAGGGCATAGTTGCGCATCCAGCCGGCGTTACCATGCTGTTGCTAGTCTCTCATCATATGCAAGGTACAATAGATGCGGACCGCCAGGAACCAATCAAGTCTAGATGAACAACAACTCCCCCATCGCATCATGGAATGTCTGCAGACTGATGTGTGTAAGTACATAGTTTCAACAGCAGTAGACGTTCGGTCCTCTCTAAATCGTCATCAGCAACTTGTCGGCCCTTCTCAACATTGCGATCGATGACGGTTCATGCGGTTGTCAGTAGCCAACGCGTTGGAACCAGCGCTTGTATTCCATGTAGCGCCATCGATGCGAATGACCTCTGGTAGCTCGAAGTGTGTCGGTGGCCATCAAATAGCTCGCATGTGCATTGCGGAGATCGAGACCCTTCCCCTTATTGCTGCTAAACCTGAGATGTGGAGTCTCGGCCCACGTCAATGTGCATGGAGCTGAAACCTTGTTCTGGACTCCGCATCGTAGTGCAGCCAAGGCGTGTCAAGCATTGCCAGGGACGTTGCGCGGTGCTTGGTGACGTGTTCTACTGAAGATAAGCTTAGCTAGACACTGAATTACCATGAATCGGTGCCAAAAAGAACCAATGAAGACCAATTGCCTGCGAACGGCGCGCGCTGCTGCAGAGTTACGGTGTAAACGCGCTGCGACATTTTCGTTGTTTGGCGATCATAGCGTCGAGGCTGTGTGTTGTGGACGCGCCCGCCCCGTTGCGAACTGCACCTCGTAAACAAGGAAGCAGGTAGTATACTACTCGTCCCGAAATGACGCCCGGCCCTTTTACAATGTCTAGTCCCACCGGCCCTCTTGTCTTTCTTTTTCACTTACTCTCTATCAACTCCTCTCCAATTACGGCATTACAAACTGCAACCGCTGCAGGGCAACTCGTTCGCCCGCCCTGAAACCCAAGCCAGTGCATTCAACTCTTGCACTTGGCGCACCCTAAAAACCACCCCTTGGGCAATCTTCGTATACCAAAGCCATGGCGCACCGCTCGAGAAGCTCGCGAGACTACCCCGACGGCTCAAGGCACCGCTCGTCGCGCGACCGAGGATATACCAGCGAGAAGCCACGCTCCGTCCCTCCCTCCGATCGCCGTGACAGGCGCGGCTCGTCTCTGCCACAGTACAACCACAATGGACACAAGGTGACCCCCGGCCTTCACCCCGAGGGCGAGAGTGGCCGCAGGGGTTTCAACCCGATCAAGTTCCTTGTCATCAGCGGCAGGAGTAGCAGCACGATGTCTATGCTAGTGAACTGCCTATGGCCCATTGTACCTGTAGCAATTGCACTGGTAAGCGGCACACAAGAGGATATGTTTCTTGTACTAACCGACTATAACAGCACTTTGCGAGGCCCGAATGGCATCTAGCGATCTTCATTACCAACTACATTGCCATGCTTCCTGCAGCCAACTTACTCGGTTTCGCTGGCCAGGAGTTCTCGCGCAAGATGCCAAACAAGGCCTTTGCTGTCGTTCTCGAGACAACATTCGGTTCCGTTGTCGAAGTTATTCTGTTCATGGTCTTGCTCAAAACCTCCAACGGCGACTCAAACGTGCAGGTTATCAAGGCTGCTATATTGGGGTCTATCTTGGCCAACCTGCTCCTCTGCCTTGGTACCTGGTAAGTGTCTGTTCGATGCTCGATCAAGCACTCACTAATTTGCTCCAGTTTCATTGCCGGTGGTGTCAAGCATGACGTCCAAGAGTTCCATAGTGCTGTCTCTGAGAACGGTAGTGGCTTGATGCTCGTAGCTGCCAGTATGTCGATCCTCCTCTTGGCTCGTCAAAGTACCAATGCTAATCTTTATAGCCGCGCTCGTACTTCCCGCTGTCTTCTACGCATACCTCTTCCAAAACCCCGATTACGAACAGACTGTTGATATCGCCTATAACACTCGACTGATATCCCGCGGTGTCGCCATCATCTCCATCGTTGGCTACCTAGTCTACTTGTATTACCAGACCGTATCCCACGATGGGTTGCTCCATGAGATCTACGAGGCAGACGATCACAAGGACAAGGACCGCCACGAGGAATTGGCTAAGCCCAAGCTTACCCTGACCGAAGTCATCGTTGCTCTTCTCGTCTCACTGGCCTGCGTTGCACTCGTCGCTATCTTCCTCGTCCTCGAAATCCCGCATATAGTAGAGCGAGGAGTTAGTGACTCCTTCGTCGGACTTATCCTTATCCCGCTGGTTGAGAAGATCGCCGAGCACCTCCTCGCCATTGACGAAGCCTATGACAATCAGATCAACATGGCCCTTGCCCATGTTCTCGGTGCCTCTATCCAGACCGCCCTGTTCAACGCACCCCTTGTGGTACTGGTTGGCTGGGGTATTGGTGTCGGCATGGACTACAACTTCGCCATCTTCGACGCTGTTGCCCTGGTTCTGGCGGTCCTGGCGGTTGGCTCGTTCCTCCGCGACAGAAGCTCGAACTACCTGGAGGGTGTGCTCTGCGTGATGACGTACGTCATCATCGCAGTATGTGCGTTCTACTTCCCCAACCCTGCACATCACGGTGCTTCCGGAGGCAGCGCTGAGGGTGGCGCTGAGGGTGGCCACTGAAAGAACCGCTCAGATGGCTGTATCTGTAAAGCCACAGGGCTTACTTAAATTGATATTCACACAGCGGTGGTGTTGTGGAGTTTCGTTGCAAATGGGCTGCGAGGAGGATGGTCGGGTTTTCCTATATGTAGCAAGCATCTGTGATGCATTTCTTTGAACAGTCTTTTTTCCAACAGTTTTAAATAGCGAGCGAGAGATACCAATATGATACACGAGATTGACACTGTTTATCTGCTGAGCAATGTTGGTGATGGCTCCCATGTGCTGCGTTGGCGCCAAACCCTTTGTGACTAGAGTCCTGTGCACGGGCCTCCACACAGATTAGGCGAATAATCGCGCCTGCCCTCCCGACATTTCTACTCTCCAGCGACAATCCAACTAACCCGACAGCCACCGCCCCTTCCCACGACAACCTCTTCTCCCAGCTCACACAACAAGTCGCCAAAATGGGTCGCGTCCGAACTAAGACCGTCAAGAAGTCCGCCAAGGTCATCATTGAGCGTTACTACCCCAAGTTGTCGCTCGACTTCGAGACCAACAAGAGGATCTGTGATGAGATTGCCATCATTGCCTCCAAGAGGCTCCGAAACAAGATTGCCGGATACACCACTCACTTGTACGTGCCGACACTGGGGCTGCGACAATGGCAATGAGGGGCTGGTTCTGGAAGCTTGAGTGGCCTGCGCAGAGCAGCGTTGTGCAATGCCTATGCGCAGGCTCTTGGGCACTTCAGAAGATAGCTCTTCATCCGCCCGCACCGCAGCCACGCTATGAGCAGCGTGCTCTCTCGCACCAAACATCAAGCTAACAACTCGCAGGATGAAGCGTATCCAGCGTGGTCCCGTCCGTGGTATTTCCTTCAAGCTCCAAGAAGAGGAGCGTGAGCGAAAGGACCAGTACGTCCCCGAGATCTCCGCTCTCGACTTCACCCAGAACAGCGAGTCTGGCTCGCTCGACGTCGACCAGGAGACCAAGGACCTGCTCAAGAGCATGGGCGTACGTTACTCTATAACCATACCACCCCAAGCATCTCACTAACACTTCCGATAGTTCGACAGCATCCCCACCAACGTCATCGCCGTCTCCCAACAACAGATTGTCGAGCGCGGTCCCCGCCGCTTCAACGACCGCCCCGCCCGCTCGTAAATACGAATGCGCACGCGCGACACGATGGTCTCCCTTCTTCCTCCTTTCTCGGCTTACTGAAAATATGGTGTCTGGGAAAGGGTCTCTTCTGCCACGACTATGGCATGGTTTTACGGCTATATACGGCGGCATGATGATCAGGAGTCAATGAAACAAAAGGTTCTCCCCCACTAGGTGTCGCTGAGTCCGAGTGTTGCAAGACACGAGGATGATGCTTGATTGCCATTTCCCCTGCCCATGCGCCCTGTGTGATGCGATGGTGTTGTGATGACCAACGAAGAATATATAGTTCAGGTTCAGGTAAGTGAATTTCATTACCGGTCTAAACAGCATTACCAAAAGGGAACGGTCCTTCATACGTCTCGTGATGTCAATAGCTTCCCGCTCAGATGAAACAAATCCACGCACTATCTCAACCCATCGCTCAATGCACGTCCTCATGTGTAGTATGTTGTGTTTATCAAGGCTCGATGAATCTAGTCTATACCATGTGGAGCCCAATTTGCTCGATGAAACCATCATTGAACACATCCCTAGAACGTTGCCGACATCACCACACCGTTCAAGGCCAAGCTCCAGTGTACGTTTTCTGTCTGCCAATGCTACTGCCAGCAACGTGGTCGTCATCCAAATCCTTTGCTCTAGCAGTCTCCACGGCTTCCTTTGTGGCATCACTGTTGTTCTTCCGACCGCGACTTGTACCCGCACCCAAGACCGCCTGGTGCAGACTACTCCGCTTGTCCGACTCCGAAGTAACAGGACGCATGGCACTCGCGGAGGACGTCTTTGGCGTAGCTGGTACTGCTCTAATCGTGTTGAAACGATACGTTTCGGGCTCGGGTGTCGCGACCCAAGTTGGACCGGGTCCGTACTCTAGGCTTGGACGTGAATGCTCTTGCTGAGGATGTGAATATTGATTGGAGGTGCGCCTCTGATTGTCCATAAGATGTTGTGGAGGAGGTATCGGGGAACCAGAGCCAGTAGGAGATGACGGCGTTGTTGCTTTGGCTGTGCCATTTTGCTTGCGAAGACGATCAATCGAGTAATAAAGGGCGAACATGATGAGGGATAGTGCGAAGAAGACCCCTATAGCGATGCCAGCTATCTGTGTACTGAAGAGAGTCATGGTAGTCTTCGGTCTGCTGGTTTGTAGAGATAGTTGGGTGGTCTTGGAGAGTCGGAGGTAGGGGTGTGGTAAGTCTTCTGTATGTTGGGGACTATGAACGGGGTTTTATCAGCGGAATGAGGAACAATCTGGGAGTGGGTCACACAAACGCATGTTCATTCTGTTTGTGGATGCTCAATGTGGTAGCCGTCGGGTAGGTGCATGTTACACGTAGACCTTTCGAATGCATCTGGTGAGAGCTGTGGTTTTGGCATGACGCGCACTGTAACATCAAGACTCCTAAGTCCATGGCATTTATGCATTCATGTCATGATCATGATGATATTGGAGCTACCTGCAAGACTTAGCACTTGCGAACCTGGAGAGTACGTACATAGCCCCGCCTTCAACTAGGTCTGCCTGAACAAGCTTTTCACAGCCCTCTTCAACCGGCTCTCTCGCTTCTCTTTCAACTTCAGCCATACATATAGCCCTTGTTTTCCCTTCAGAGACCAGCTCAACTTACCCTTATCATCCCTCCAGTGAACCATCCATCGCTCCTTTTCCAACGAGGGGTTTTCGAGCATCAGCTCCCACCTATAGCTCGACCCGCGAAACGGATACACCAGATGAGGGTAGTGAGCGGGAAGTCGACCACACCCACATACCTTCTCATCATGGAGCCTTTTCAAGCGGAAAGCAATCTTCCGAACGTTACACGTCGTCGTCGGAAATGGTGGGTTAAGGACTGAAGCGCGAAGGCACCAGTGGTTTGCCTGGGCATGCTTTCCATTACACATTCCTGGAGCTATGAGGCAATTCATTGCTGTGACGAGTCCAATGATATTGCTGTATGTTGTTCGGATGCGATAATGGTCGGATGCCACAGAATCGCTTGGAGGATAGAGGGGTGCGGGCATGTCCTGTACTTGGCTCATGTAACGCGCGATTTGTGCCGGATTCAGTGTCTCAACCATCTGCAAGACATCGTCTTCACCCTCTAGGTCTTCCAATCCGATGGTCAATCTGGCCAGGTAAAGCTCTAGTACTGGTGCCATGGCTTGCAGAATGCCCATTATCGTAGGCCGATCGAGCATTGCCCAGCGTGGTATTCCGATCGTGAGGTGCATCAGCGAGGCGAAGGTCGTCGGCCGGAGCGGTTGTAGCTTCATTGGCGTTGCGTTGACGGAGAACTGGATCGTGCGTAGGATGGAAGGGGCCAGGCGGACGGCTTCGGAGGTCATCTCGTTGTAGATTTGGGGGCAGGAGAGCATGAGCCCGATGTATGTCTGGTAGGGCGCGTTTGGTAGGAAGCCATCGGGGGCTATGTGGCTGTATATGAGCAAGCGTATCTCCGCTGGTAGTGCAAGCAAGTGGCATGGCGTCGCAGCTGTGGCTTGGGGACGCCTGTCTCGACGTTTGATCAGCTTCATGTTGTATTGGGTCGATGGTGGCGTGCCGTTAACGTAGAAAGTGGAACGAAGTTGCTTGCGAGGCAGGGACTTTTCGCGTGGTAACAAAAGCTAGTTGTGGAAATATCTCTTCGTTGCTACTGTCTCCTTCACTGTCAAACGCCCATCAAAGTAGCGTCTCCCGTGCCTTGAAAGACTTTTGAATGCCATTAATTCGGCGCAAACCAGATCTCAGCGTCACCATGGATACAAACTCTTGAACAATGTAACGGCACGCTTGATAAAAGGAGGCCCAGTGCTTTCAGCTCCAATTTTGTCATCTAGGTTCTCGCGTATACCCTGAGTGTCCTTCCGGAAAGGATACCATTCCGATCCAACGGAACCATGATTCTTTCAGGCTATCAGAATAACCGAGATCGCTCCAGAGAAGATGTGTTTTCTAGACGGCATATGCTGCTGCTGTTCCCAGGAATGTGGCACGTAAGGCAACCAAAGCTGGAAGCGACAACTTCCATAGATGGCGAAGAGGACCAGCGTACTGTAATCCACACATATTCAAATCAATATTTTCGCAATGATGACATGTAAATCTGGATCGAGGCGAGTGTACTGAGCGCAGATGAGATGAGGATGACAATGCAGGAACGCGACAGGAAGGGGTTCATCACTCAAGCGCACCCCGGGCGCACACCAACGCGTAGCGATGCGGTGCAGGAACGTATAACGCGTCGCAGCCATTGCTGACAGGAGAGAAGCTGACAAGATGAAGCACTCAATGGATGTCCTGATGGAAGGTTGTGAGCGGAAGCGCTAACTATGACGTTCACCCGAGGTTCCAAGATTGTTGGGGCCGAGTCATGTGGGTCACGTGTCTTTCCAATGCTCACCCCGAATTTACTTGGCACGCTAGCGACGCGAGCGTGAATGTTTTTGCCTACCGCCCTCACGCTCCGACAACCCAACCACCCCGCAACCTTTTGACCCGGCCACGAACCTCACCTTACAACCCCATCGAAATCCATCGAGATCTGTTTCCTTTCTCATCCATACTGATCCACAAGTAGACAATTTACTTCTTTCGGTATATCAGGTCATATATCGCGCTTGGATCACTATGTCACCTGCCGCGATCAGCCAGACCGCTGTTACCTCACCTTCGCCGCCACAACAACCCCACACACCGACTTGTACGTGTAAACTGTGGAAATATCTCTTGACCATGAACTAACGTGCCGTACAGCGAATGCTATACCTGCATCAAAACATTTCGATGACATCTTCCACACCAAGTTCATGCACATCATCCAAGAATGGAAGAATGATCCATCTCGCGGCCAGCTAACTCAGAAGGATCGAAAGACCTTTATCGAGAATGCCTTCTTTGAGACCGATGAACTGTATTTCGGCCGGCGTATGATGACTGATCTTGAGATCAAGCTTCGCGCCCTTACCAAGGTCTTCTACAAAGTCCTCGCAGAAGAACCCTGGTCCGAGGATTGGATACGCGCCCCTGATGTTGAGCGTAAGCTTTCCAAGTTTGAGATGCACGAAGATTCCGTAGCTCTCGCCAAGGAGTATGGCTTTACCACACCTCGTGAGGCTGTCAAGGCGGCTCGCGAGGCTGGTATCAAGAACGCCGAGACTTACAAAGAGGCTCAAAAGGAAGGCAAGACACTCAAGGACATCAAACTCGATCGGGGCCCGTTCGACGATATCGAGATTGTCTACATCGCCGGCACGGTCTCGTCATCTGCTACAAGCAAGATTGACCGTAGTAGCATCTATCCAGTTTCCGTATCTTCAGTCGCCAATGTCCTTCAGAACCATATCTGTAGGGACATGGTTAGACCGTTCTCAATGGCTGAGCGCTTCGTCAACTGCACCGACACCAAGGAACTTGAAGACATGCGCCGCTTCGCATGCAATGTCTGCGATTTCTGTCCTCATCTTCTCGACAACGACAACGTCAGCCTTCTCGTTGTTCTGCTTATCCTGTCGCGTTCTGACTGCTGTCGTCGCTTTGAGGCCAATGGCATTCGCATTGAAGGTTCCACGATTAGTCACCGCAAGGCTGAGTGCATGAAGAACAAGATGGGCTGGAAGACATCCGAGGACAAGAAGCCCTACGACAACTTCGCTCAAGAGTTCCAGACCCGTGTCAAGAATGCTTGCTTCCCAGCTCCCCGAGCTCAGCGCATCGGTGGTCGAAAGCCGCCGCGCAACTCTTCTGGCCCAGCGACTCCTCCAATCTACGCCCAGCCTCATATGGGTTACGTCGCGCCTCCACAGGTTCGCACCGACCACGCAAATACTGGTATCAACGTTCCTGCTCCGCCTGCACAAAACAGTTTCGCGCAACCTGCTGTCCCAACAATCAAGGACCAGCGTGGTCGCGAATCAACTGGTGCCGGTAACAGTGCCGCCGAACCCATGGATCTTTCCTGAATTGTTTAGCGTGTCATCGACGGGCTTCGCAAGCTCATTTTCAAGAATCATTACTGCATGGCTAAGGCGTTCTTTAGGTACCTTGGGGTCTGCATATGGGTTCAAAAACGGCGTTCCATGCATCATGTCCGATTTACCTACGTGGTTGCCATATTCTGCATGCTTCAGTGTACTCATCGTCACTTTCCTGTAAATAGTCATACTGTCAGTATATAGCCATCTAATCCATACATATCTGAATGCAGAATTCAGGTCATACAACCGGGGCATCTTCCAGTAGATGTTCGTGTTTTGAAACAAGCTACACTGTGGAGTTTGCAAAGGATGTTAATGTGTCATCGCATTGTTATTTTTATTCGACAACAAGTTGAAGCTATATTACATCATCGCGACATCTCGCCAGCATGAAGTGTTGCTTTATTCCAGCTGACTCCACTCGTGGAATCAGCTAGACTGCCAAGCCAAGTGTGTATCAAACTGACTGCGATGCGGCTCGGACGTCTTTCCGTTCAACAACTCACTCACTCAAGAGATCATCACAATGGAGCTCAATAACTTCGAATTCCTAGCCTTCTTCCTTTGCTCAAGCATTTTCGGTCTGCTCTCCGCAGTCTGGTCTACAGTACGTCAATTTGAAGCACTACACTAGCGTCTCATACTAACAGCTCCAGACTGAACTCATCAGCGATCGTGAGATCGTTCTCTTGATCGGAGTCTTTGTCGCAGTCGCGATCGCGCTTCTCGCGCGTCTATCCACCAGCAAGGCGCTCACCAAATTCCTCACGATCGACGTTGGCGGGGTACACGAGAAACAGCTTCGCGATCTCAGTGAAGCGCATCGTCGTCACGTCGCGAGCGTAAAGCACGAGAGCAATCGCGAGAACCTTCGCCTTCGTAACGACATCAACTACGCTGCTATGAAATTTGACCGCCTATACAACGAGCACGACTACATGTCTAGCATGTACCAGCAGCAGATGCACCACACTCAAGAACAAGACGACCGCATCGAGTACCTCGAGAAGAAGCTTCAAGAGTTCGGACAGTCTACCCCCGTTACTCGCGCTCCTTTCTCCGCGCCGCACTCTCAGATCAGCTTCTCGCTTCCGCCACGTCGCCAGCGATCTGAGGAGGCCTTCAACTATGTTCCTCTCAAGGGCTCACTGTCTCAGGTTGTTGAGAGCAAGGATGAATAAGATTTGACTCGTGTTCGTCGCTCGTGCGGATTAGCACGGCCAGGCCGCCTGATACATAGCTAGATGATTGGGAACGCGCTGGTGAGACGAGTGCAGGGCGGTCATCGATTTGGATATCCGTACTAGACTAGATCTCATAGGATACCAATGAAATGGGTTTATCTCAAAGCCACAGCTCACTTTCGTGTGAAGCGCAATGTTTTCGACGTGGCAATGCTGTGCCCACAATGCAAGTGACCAAGTCGGGTGTCTCATCTGCGCCATGGAAACACTAGTGTTTGCACAAACCATTCGCAACGCTCGTCCACGTTCAGAACTTATAAGCATGTAATATTTCTTACGACAGCAACTTCTTTAACACAACTAATTCAGTCATGACGGAAGAAGAGAGACGTACGCTCATGAGCGCCGATATTCCCACGATCCAAAAGATACACACTGCCATCGCCGCTATCCAACCAAGCACGGAAATGACGCTCTTTCAACAGCGTAGGCTTCTCTATCTCTGTTTGCGTCTGAAAAGCGAGATAGACATACCTATCGGATGGTGGTTGATTGAAGACGTAGAAAGCCCAATTTCTGATTCCCAAGTCTGGCGCGACGTTGATACCGAGCTTGGTATACCAGAGTCAGAAGATTATTCCTACTCGGTAGCGTATCAGAGCGCAGGGGTAGAACAGGATGGAAATTCTCCACCTCGTAGTAGCAGCAGAAGTCTATCGAGAGGGAGAAGAAGGACGAGATGAGGCTGTCTAGTGATGTTGCGAAACTACAGAGAAAATGAAAGTAAGCGGTGGCGCGAGATCCATGGGTTGAGTGTGGTTAATGGCTTGAGTATGAATTACGAGTGCCATATGATCATCGAATGAACGGTCAATGAAGAGCCCTGTCGTCGGCAATCTAGTCACTTACACGCGTTCCATTTTATTGAAGCCATGTCTTATTCCCAAAGCCATGTCCGATCCACCTATCCAAAGAAGGAGACAGGGATTTGAGCTTGAAGACTGACACATGAGTTGCGGTGATCAATCACATAAGCTTGTCATCTATGATAGACTTTGGTATACTGATTGTTTTACGTGCCACATCGTGAAGGAACTTGCCCGCAGCAAACAAGTTCAGTATATCAGCGCAAGATGAGAAGCATCAGAGCACCATCAAGATCATTCAGCTCGTCACACCGCTCCATAACATGGCATCAGAGAACCTCAGCTACCCCTC